TGTGGTGTGTGTGTGTGTGTGTGTGTGTGTGTGTGTGTGTGTGTGTGTGTGTGTGTGTGTGTGTTAATATGCAGAGGTTCTGTGGAGGGGAGTGCTGCTAATCCTGCTCAATGAATCCTTTCACATGGAAATAACGGGGAATATACTGTAATGTGGCGAGGTGAACGGAGACGGGCGCCTTCGCCGGGTTTTTAAACTGATCTCTTTAAATGGTCTTCAATGCATTGATCAACTTATGTATTTCCTTTTGTTGTCTTTCTGTGTAATTATTCTTATTTTTTTATGTTTCTGAATGTCCAGCATAAATCAACAGGACTTTTGCAGCTTTGTTTTTTGTGTGTTCGACACTGCATATTATAAAGTAAAACATAAAAACTTCAGAGTAGAATAAAGAAAAATAGAAAGAATAGAACAAAACCAAATTTATAATGATTTCTAAAATTAAAATTCATAATCCTGTGAGACTCCAGTGTCCAGGTGACTAAACTAGATATCACAGAGCAATATAATACTTACCCTACAAAGAAATGTGTTTAAAATCTCTTTGTTAGCAAGCTGCTGTCAGATGACTGGAGCCATTTCTTCCATCCTTCTTTCTCCGACTCTTTCTCTTCTTTCTCTTCCTTTGTCTCTCTCCGTCTCTGCACCGGCGCTCCCTGCATGGCTTCAGCCCGCTGCCTGTTCTGGGCTCATAAAAAGGGAAGCCCCGCTCTACGTACGCTACTTTTCAGTGTAGACTCTTTTGAACTCTTCTCCATCCGTTTCACACGAGCGGGCGTTTATCCTTCGCCCCGCTTCTCTCTTTCAGCTTCATTTCTTTTGCGACCACAGACGGAAAGTAGCTCTGCCTGTTCTCTCTGTTGTCTCTGTGCCCAGTGCTTTCTCTGTGGTCCTTTTATATTTGTACATGAATAACCTAGTTAAAAATGTAGTCCAGCTCACACTGAAGCTCTTAAGATGTGTTTTAGTCATGTTGGATAAGAATCAGAAAGTGAAATGTTGTGAACTGAACTCGTCTGCTCTTCACTGGGAAGGTTTCAGGTTCTTGGCTCTCTCCAAATGTACCGTTTTCCTGTTGACACCGAGTCCAGGAAGACTCAGGTGTTTAAGTCAAATTGTTCCTCACTGAGACGGCGAAATATTACAGATGTGCCAGAGTCTGAAACATTTTCAGGGAAATGTTTCTGTGATCATCTTTAAACAAAGACTTTTTTTTTTTTAATTCTTTTAGTGACATAGTGTCATCACTCTTGACTGATGCCTGTATGAAACTGCTGGAACTATTTATTTCCTAACATGAGTTCTTCTCCTCTGGCCTCCTTTTTGCTTTTCATTTCACCTGGTGTCGGTTTTCTGGTGTTCGACTTCTTCTCGCTAATCTGATGTGAATCTGTCTTTTCTAATCTTGAGTCTTTTGTATTTTGTATATTTTAGTTTTTGCTTAGGAATACACCAATTAGTCAGTTTTTAAACATTTTCGCTTACTGATTACGATCTGAGATAAGTTGTGGGATCTAACTAAACGGGGTCATTATGAACCTTCAGATTATTTGGGCATACATTTAGTCATTTATTTCAATTTGTGGCTCTACATAAAAACACACTAATAATTTTCAAGTCTGTGTAATTAAAATGAGGTTATCTACTGCTGTGCTAGGTTCTTCTTATGCCAGCAGCTACTACTTTGGTTTATTAGAAGTGTTTTGATTTATGCTTGGTCACAATGATAACCCAATTTGAGCTATAATTTATTCAAAATGCACTGTTAATATAAGCTAATGGTTGCTTCTGATACAGGAAGTAAGACGCAGCTAACAGTGGAGGAATGGCTTAGTTTGCAGATTAGCACACGTCTGTCTGCTTTAATCCTTTTATTTGAACTTTCTGTTAATAGTCTCTCCACTGCACTGTACTTTAGCTTATTGAACAACCCATCACTGTTCACACACTTTGATTTGGCATCTCATTAAATGCACTTAGTTTTTACATCAGCTGGTCGTGAAACGGTGGTCTTTTTTTTCTTTGTAGAGGGCACCAAAAATAAGACACAGAGCCAGAAATGTGTCTCTTTAGTCAGATCCCAGACCTTGAAATTCTGTATTTTTTATTTTGGAATATTTAATGTATTTATAGTATTTTCTGCTAGTTTTTGCTTTCATGTGGTTGCTACCAGACTTGAGATGGAATTATAATATTTATCTTATATCCACATGCGTTTGCTTTGCTTATATACATTCTTAGTAAGACGATATTCAGTGTAAACCCCACTAAACAGAGTTTTGTGAAAACCTAAAAAGCTAAAAGCTAAATTAATTTTTTATTTTTAAAGAATTTTTTTATTTTATCATGTCTTTTTTTCTTTTATCTCTAACTCCTCCTTCCTCTTCTCTATCTTGATGCTGGTCTCCTTGTTCTGTGTGGTGATGTTGATATTTACATCTTTCTAACCGGTTCTTTTCTTCTTGACTATTTCTCTCCTTCTCTTCCTTTACAAGCTGCCAGCACCAGCACTGCTGCCTCTGCTGGGGCTGTGGGGGCTCCCGGGGGCCTTTCTCACGGGGCCCCTGGCCCCCCCCGCCCCGCCCCTGCTTCTCATAACATCCCCTCAGTCAACGAAGGTACAAACTGATCTGACGGGTACCTGTAAGGGAAAGGCTAGCAGCCATCCTCATTCCCATGCTTTCCTTTCTTCTGAGTTCTTCATTTTGCCTTTGGAGAGCTTCTGCTTTCTAGATTCCCTTTACTACCATCTCTCTTTGCCCTCGTTTGTTTTTTTTCCTGTACTTTTAAATCATGTTCTTGCAGCTGTTCTTTCAGATTTGTGCATTCGTTTTGGCTCTTGTCAGTGCGATCCCTCAATCCCTCCATTCGATCCGTTCTTTGTCCTGATTTTCTCCCTCCTGGGTTCACGTCATGTCTCCTCTCTCGCTTCAGCCGTGTTTCCCCCAGCAGCCAGCGTATGGGTCTCATCTCTAGTGTCCAGCTCCAGTTTCTTTTTATTTCCAGTATCTCGTCTGTCATGCAGTCTCAGTTTGTGTCCGTCGAAGCTGACCTCAGTCCACTCTCAATACCATCAGCTGAAGACACTCACAGTTGCTTTTCCATTTTAGAAAAGTTTGATTCCAATCTTATCCAAAATAGCAAAGGGAATCTGTTCAAGAGTTTGGCTTTTTTTCTCAAAACCTTTCTGGAAAATGGAAGAAAAGATGCTGCCATTAATTTTAACAAGCATCCCTTTTAATCCTTACTGAATATATAATGGAAGTTTCATGGCTATAGGATGGGTTTCCTGAATTTGAACAGATAAAGAATTATGCCATTTTCCAACAAGTGACTTTTGCTGACTTGCTGATGATTTTGAGAGTGGATTGACACCAGTGCCTACTTGGTTCTCTTTGTCCCTCTTACCCAGTTGGGTGTGTTGTGCAGTCCTACCCTCTGCTGTCTGTTTTCAGTGTTCACAAACCCCGACGTGTCCGTGCCTCTGTGCTGTTTGCATGCTTGCTATCTCAGTCATGTTTACTTTTTAACGAGGGAATATGGGCCTTGATATAAACCAATGAGGCGATGTAATCAGGAGAAAAAATACCCAAAGCCCCCCCCCACTCCCACAGACAGTGCTCACCGACAACTGGACCACATCCATCTTAGAATCAGAGAGCATACACGTTTAAAGAATGCTTCACTTAAAAAAGGACGTAGGACTAAATGATAACTCATCTTTGATGGATCTTTCTTTAGGTTTCTTTATAATCTATTTGGGCATAAGTGTTGTAACTCCCAGCTAGAGTCTTTCTGGTGTCTGTTTAGGAGCTTTTTCCATATGCTATAAACTGCTTTTTACATTTTTTTCTCTTGCTTTTTTTACATTTTTTTATTTTCTTAACAGGATGTTGGCTTTCACCAATGAGGTGTGCAGCCCAATTCTCCTAATATCAATGTGCTCTCAGATTATTTAAACACTGGTGGTTATGATTGGGGTATCAAGTGCCTTTTTCCAAAGCTGATGATGTGTAGCTCCTGGTTAACAGTGTAACAGAGATGGTCGGCGTAGATTTTCCAAAAGGGGAACAGCAAGCATGCACACAGACTTTTCCCTATCCTGTGTATGTATAGAAAGCTTTAGAGCTAAATTTACCTTTTGTATTTTGTGTAGTAGTGTACAGAATACAAAAACACTGTCCTGCAGAAACTGAAGTCACTTGTGTATTTTTTATGTGTTATGAATTGAAATGTGTTTATAATATACTGAAATTTTTTGTGATCAAGGTCTACATTAGAAAAGTTTTTTTTTCTTCTCTTTTTTTTTTAGAACTGTGCTTTGCCCAACTTCTACTGCTTTTCTTGTACCTGTTATTGTTGTTCTCGGTTGGAAATGCTATTTCAGCAAACAGGCTCACAGTAAAAACCTTATATGTCACAGAAAAGGAATCTATTCTGTGATGCAAAGATTAGACTTTTTTGTGCTAATGGACATGAAACATTTATTGTGTTTGATAAAATATGAGAAAAATAACTGTTGCATCAAATGTCACCAGCAATTATGTAGACAAATAGCTGGCCAGGAGTTGGAGTCCCATTCCAGGGTCTATACCTCAGACTTTACTTTGTTCCTGTATACTTTGCACAATAAGAAATTAAATAACCTAGGTTAGGAAAAACATCCTTTAGGTCCAATTCTGGTTGAGGACTTGCAGCCCCTTGGTTAAACTACCAGAAATGCATCGGGCAAACCTACCACACATCCTACTGATATATTATATGGAAGTTGTGCTAAGTGGTAAAAAAAATACCAGCAGATATTGAAATATATCTGTTTTGTCCCCATTAGTGGCAATGCAGTGAATGTAGCTGCCATTAGCACAAGCAGTAACACTAAAACTAACAAGAAAAAGAGTTCTAAACCACAATGATTGTCAGAATGAATAGAGAACAGTGATAGTATTTATCTCTGCTCATAACTCTTGAAGGCAGCGATGATAAATCCATTTGTTGTATTTTCAAACATTATTGAAACCAAAAATCAACTTCCAGAAGCTGATGAGATCCATCTCTTGCATAATAAGTGGAAAGTCTCCACTCCTGGCTGAACTGATTTTTCTTTTTTTTTAACATTCTTCTTTTTGTCGGGTCGATCTTCACTAAACCATGGCAACCTTCAAACGGTTAAATGTTTAAAATGCAATTTCTCGCTTAATGAGATGTTTATTTGAATCTGTGTTCTCTAACATTTGAGGTTTCTGCAAGACAGTGCAGCAGATGTTTGGAGGTTGACTGATTATTCTTCTGCTTTCCTCTAATATGGAAACAGATCTCAGCTTTTGCTAAACGATGCTCGCCTTTTTAATCAGACACACCTTAGAATCATGGAAAAACCTTAAAGTTATGATGAAACTCAGATCTGAAATCTTTGTCATCATGGTTAATCCGTCAACCTCTGCGCCGTTTTGTTATGAGAATTTTCTAACGTTTGAATTTTCTTCAGAAATCTTCCTGGAGGAGGTAAGTTTATCTGGTGTCCAATGCAAAGAAATTTGTGGAATAAAAAATTTCTTTCCTACCTAAAAGCCATTCAGTGTCCATCATGCGTACACGTATCTTCTCTGGAATCCATATATTCCACTAATATATGTGAATGAGGTGCTTCATGAATGTTGAGTTTTGTCACAGATATGTATAAGGTTGTGTGTACTTTTGTGGTCGGTCCAAAATCGGATTTTTTTGCCAGTGTTGTGGCTCTAAACGAGCAATTTCACTCAGCTCTCACCCATTAAGCCAGAATTCAGCTCTTAAAGTGACACCAATGATACCTATAAAGTTAGTTTTTACTTATTATTCACTCTGGAGAAAAAAAGAAAGGAATAGGTACATCTAGCATCATCTGTGTTCTAAAAACTTTGTTGTTACTAATGCTATAGTCTTTTTAAGTGGAACTTTAAACAGAGGAATGATTTAAATACTGTTAGAAAAAGTACTTATGTAAATGAATCACTTGTAAGTATCATTCTGAAGCTTTGGTTGATCCACCTGGCAGAGCTGTGCATCTACTGTTTACCTGTTTAACACCACCAAACAGAGTCTGGTTAGAAGAAATTACATCTGTCGCTCTAACCAAGACTGTTTGTTGATAACGATCCCATTATATGTTTAACTGTTGGTGATTTAATATGCTGAAAATGTAATGTCAGTGTGTTATTTTGTTTCTTCTTTATATAAGGATGTGAGAATCACCGCTGTCATATTGAAACATGTAGTCGGTATTTTATAGGGAAGCTTCTATGGGTCAATTTGACTTTTTTTTCCTAAACATAGAAGGACGTAAACTGACATTGGAATGCTAATATGAAAAAAAAATCAGACCAGATCAACAGTCTGCATTTATGTACCATGAAATGAATGATTTCCCTTTGTTTTTAAGGTCAGATTTTGTAAAATAGTGTTTTTAATGTGGCAGCGGTGAGGTTTGCGTATGCACAGGGGTCAGAGAATCTGTCGGACTTGTTTTCCCTGTAGTTTGTCCTGACTCTTTGTATCTCTATGTGTGTGTGTGTGCACAGGATGGAGCCAGCTAGCCGCCATGCACTGTGTGATGCTGCCTGATCTCCTGGGCCTGGATAAGTTCAGACCTCCGCTGCTGGAGATGCTGGCGAGGAGGTGGCAGGATCGCTGTCTGGAGGTACTGACCGCTCCACGATGAGTGTTCTGACCGGGGATTGATCTGGGACGCGAATCGCAAGCTACTAAAAAATACAGACTTAGCAAAAATATGTGTGGTTTGCTTTTGATATTCCCTAAATCCCTAAATTCCCTAAAATTCCCTAAAGTATGTTGTTTATGTTTATGCATTTGGCAGACGCTTTTATCCAAAGCGACTTACAGAGTAGACACAATATTACATTTCTCATCACTATGACAATAAGTTATGAGAAATGTAATATTGTGTCTACTCTAAGTACTTATTAGGGAATTTATTATAATTTATTATCTATTATAATATTATAATTTATCATAATTCTATGGTTTCCATATCTCAACAAATGGATGATACAACAGATTTGACGAGGCCAATTGGTTAACATTTAAAAAAAAAAAAAAAAAAAGTATTTTTTTTTTTATTTTATATAGAAGTATTTAGAAGATTCTCAACAGTTCTGGATCTTCTTTTTTTTTAGATCTAAGGGAATATCAGCACATTTTCCTTTCCTTTTTTTAAATTGGGCCACATGATACCAAAGAATAGAGCATGTTAGAGCCAGGTTTTTTTCCAGACGTCAGCTTTAGGATCGCCCCGGTCTGGCTGCTCTCGGGGCGTCCGCCCTGACTCGGTGTGTGTGTGTGTGTGTGTGTGTGTGTGTGTGTTGCGGTTTCAGGTGCGTGAGGCGGCGCAGGCTCTGCTGCTGGCGGAGCTGCGAAGGATCGGCCAATCGGGGCGTAAGGACGCCATCGACCTGTGGGCTCCGTACCTGCCCCAGTATGTGGACACGGTCAGCTCCCGTAAGTACAGAACTCAAAAACCCAAGTAAAGGCCTGATCATTCTCACCGTCTTCATGTATTTTAGGACTTTGAGAACATGTGTCCACAGCTCTTATGGCGTCCTGTGCCAGGTGCTTTAGGGACTCAGGTCATTTGGCCTCTACCCAACCAGAATCGGGGCTAAGTTTGCGTGCCCAGCACTAAATCCCACTGATTTCCGGGGGCTGTTGGATTCTGCCTGTGCTGCTCTTCTTCACAGATAGCGAACGGACGTTTTATCTACACAATTTCATGCTCAGCCAAACGGCCTGCAGCTCTCCGTGTGGCTGGCACAGAGACTGCATTGCTACTTTCTTAAAGATGATTTGTTAAGTCTCTTGGCAGACATTAATGCAGTTTCAGGGATAGTATAAATACTGATGACAAGTCTTTTGCAAGTAGTTTCTTCCTAGAGTACAGTCGACACATTTTTCAGGGCCTATCTGAAAATGTAGGCTAACATACCATCCAATGAGATTCTGTTTTCTATTAGCGGGGCTGATGCAGAGTAAGGGAGGGGCCTGCTCATGACTGCGTGTTTTGGGAGGGACTCTGCCTCCACAGCTTTCATTTTGGGTAATAATTGGAAGCTGTCGTTCACGTGATCTTCTTGATTAATGGAATATTTAAGTCTTTTTTGTTTAAACAAGTCTTAAGACTTGTGTCCATTTTATCCACATTTTATTGGCAGGGTAGTCCGCTAATTGGGAAGGTGATACAGCCCTGTAGTCTCATCCACAAAGCTCTGATTGGTGATTTGTTTTAGAAATGCAGGCAGTCTTCTGTTATTTATCTGTCTGTCTCTGCTTCCTTGTCTGTCTGGGCCTCCTGTGCCGTTTATTCCCCGATGCCCCTCATCCTGCTATAGTTAGACCTGCTGATGGGAAGAAAGGTGAATCTCCACCTTCTTTTACTAGAAACGGCCTTCTAAAATGCCGCGTGCGTGTGTGCGTTTCGCCAGTCGCCCTGTGGTTGCTGAGGATGCTGGGGGATCTCTCGGGGGAACGGTTACCATAGGAACGGGCACCGGTCAGTGTTGTGTTACCACAGCAGTACCGCAGGCAGGCGGTGTGGGGGGAGTGATGGACCAGTGACCTCAGGGGACAGGGGAGGATGGAGGGGGGAGGGAGCAGAGCGATGTGGAGGGAGATAGAAAGAGAGAGAGGTTAAAGGGTCATTGAATTTGATCTGTATGCTGCACAGCAGTACTGGAACAGGCAGTAAAATGACTCCCACTCGTCTTGGAAACCCTGGAATATCAAAGGGAAAGTGTGTGTTTAAATCCTGTGGAGAGCTCTTCGGAGCCCGATTCTGTCCTAGAATCTGACTTTTGTTCTAGTAGAAATATGTGAAATTTCATGCCTGCTAAAACGGGGCTCTCCAGGCTTTTCCAGCACATCCGTGATTTTACTCTCTAGTTTAGAGCAAATTTAGACTTTTTGTGCCTGTGCAAAGCCTTTGGTGGAGCCAGCTGGCAAATACTTTGATCAATCAGAAATATATTAGTTAATTTAATCAAATATGAGCAGTGAAGCAGAAGAAACATTGTTTGAGACACTTTTATTAACTGTTACGTTCTTTTATCAAAATGTTCTTCAAGCCTAAATAATACGCATATTCGCATGTGCTATTTTTTTGTCTTTAAATGGAAAAACGCTAGCAAGTACTTCTGTGTCTCTAAAGTTAAATAAAAAAGGGGATCTGAAGAGTCCCAGCGTTGCAGATGGAGCTGTCTGTGTGCCGTCCCCCGTTCTTCTGCTGATGTGAACAGGTGGAACTGATATGGAGCTGGCAGCCATCAGCCTCAAAGTGTGTTAGAATTCAATTAAAGTTTTTCGGCTGAACTTTTACCTTACCGCGAAATAAAAGAAAAAGAACTCTCGATGATTAAAAACACTCGCAACTAATTCACTTCAGCCATTTTCCATGTTGACCGTTGACTTGTGGAAATGGCCCCTTCCTGGAAAGCAGTAGTCTCTCTTTCCATCACTGTGTGTGAATTCCTGTTGGTGTTTTAACACATTGATGGGGACCTACTTTTGACGGGATGCAGACTTAATGGACATGCAAATCTAAAGTTGAGGTTTCCAGACGTATGAAATGTTTTAATTTTCAATTAGTTTTGGGCTCGCCTTTCTTTCGGTTAGAATTAGAAAGAGGTTATGGTTTTAGAGTGAGTTTCGGCCTTTGTTATTCAGTTGTGACAGTTAAGGTTAAAGTAAGGGAGAGGGAGAATATCCTTGTGGGATATCCCAGTGGTCACATGGAAACAACTGCCTGTAGTCATTTGGAGCTTGTATTTTTTCTTGTAAAAAACAAAAAAATGTCGGTGTAAAATCGTCATCCTGAAGAACTAAAAGGTTTAGAAACGGCGAGCTCACTTGTACAGCTTGTTCAGCTTTATCAAACTCACTTAGCAATCTTCACTCAAACCTCCTCCAAAAATAGGAAACTCACTAGACAGGAGCATGTGCTACATATGGACCTAAACCTCAAGCCATTGACTCACTTTGTGTTGTCATGAGATGCAAAGTGTAATAGAAGTGGTCGGAGATTTATTTTTTAAATTGTCAGGACTGGTTTCAAATGGACATTCTGTGGTTCCCTGTCTGTCTCTGTGTTTGGTCTCCCTGCTCCTCCTCTCTAAAAGGTGCACATGTTGGAGGGAAGACACCTGTGTTTATCCATTAAGCTTTAGTGCCCAGGAAATGTCTCCCAGACAGAGCTCCTCTGCCACAGCTTGGGGCCAAGCAGCAGAAGCACACACACACACACACAAACAGACACACACACGCATGCACGAGCCAAACAGATCAGTGACTGACCTTTCAGCTCTTCTGGAAGTGTTTAAAAGGCTTAACACAAAGGACACACAAGTTGTTAACCTCCACTCAAAAAGACCGAAATAGAAAACAACCTGTCGGCGCCATCTTCATCATCACCACTGTGTCTGATTGCCTCTTCCTCGCTTTAAGAAAAGGCTTCTGGCTCTTCTTCGTGGAAACGGAAACTGAGTCGGGCTCCCGTGGAGCTGTGTGTTGGTCTTAAAGCTGCTGCACAGATGTTTTAAAAGTAACTACAGGCTTTGAGGGTGCACAGAAAGAGAGGGAGGAGGGATAGAATAGGATGGAGGGGTAGAATGTGCCCATAAGACTGACACATAATGATGCCCAGTCGATTAAAGGGAATCCCACAGCACTGGTCATTGTTCCCCTCACACATGCATGATCACACTGAGTTTTTGGGGGTCCGGCTCCGCATGTGTGGAGCGGCGGCCATGTCTTTGATCACAGAGCAGCACGCACCGTGTCCCTCTCTTTGTCTTGTGCGGTAGGTTTTCCGGCCTCAGTCACCCACACCTGTTTGTTTTTTTGGGTTGCTCCCGTCAGCCTGCTGTTGCCAGAGCTCCTCCTCATCCCCTCGTCTGCTTCCCATCGTTTCATCTTCCTCCCACGTTTTCACCGTGTTGCTTTTTCCATCTGCTGCTCATCCTCACCTCTCTGCCAAACTCGTTTCTTTCAGTTTTCTTACTTTACTGGTATTTACTATTATTCATTTCTTATCAACTATGACTTTCCACCTTGAACCCATCTATGAATTTACCACACAAGACTGAAAGAGCTTCAAATGCTCTCTGCCAAAATTTAGTTTTTAAAATCTCTGATATAGCTGATATATTTATTTTTGTAAAATTCACATGGAGATGTTATGACCTTAGTGGCAGGAATCATACTTGACACTTAAAGGGATTTTAATTATTTTTCATATATATATGTATACAGTGGGGGAAATAAGTATTTGACCCCTTGCTGATTTTGCCGGTTTGCCCACTTACAAAGAATGCAACAATCTATAACTTTAATCATATGTACATTCTAACAGTGAAAGACAGAATCCCAAAGAAAATTCCAGAAAATCACATCATATTAATTTATAAAAATTGATAACCATCTGATGAGGAAAAATGAGCATTCTTTGTAAGTGGGCAAACCTGCAAAATCAGCAAGGGGTCAAATGCTTATTTCCCCCACTGTATATATATATACATATATATATATTAGCCAGCCATTACAGGTTGGACTTTTTAAAGTAGCTCAGATCATTACGTTTGTAGGCTTCCAGCTTCCAGTGCATCATCCTTTTGAAATGACTGTTCACTTACAGCCTCCTTACAACCTAATCAAATACTACTGTAATGAGATAATTAATATGCAATTTACTTAAACTGTTAGGGATTTCTATTTGATTGTTCTACTAATACATGTAACAAAAAAACAAACACACTGGTAAGCTGTGAATAACAATAGTTGATAATTAATAATACTAATCGTCCTTTTTTTTTTTTACTAATGAAACCTTCTCAGCATGACTTGTCTTTTTGGTTTAGCGCCTGATACCGTTTACAATTTCACCGCCACCTGGATGAGGTTGAATTGAAAAGATAAGATTCTGTCGTGCCTGAGAGAAAGTGATTAGAATGGGAGGGAATCAATGGAAAGATTTGTATAGTTTAATAGATTAAACAATTTGCGTTATTTCTTTTATTTCTTTTTCAGTTTACAAAAAAATTAGAGCACCTTCTAACTTACCTAAAACCTCCAAATTCTGACTTTTTTACTTTTCTTTTTTCGTTTGATTTGCCGGGGGTCTTTGAATGAACAAACACACGGGGAGCCTGGTGTGCTTCAGAAGGCACAAAGCGAATGTTTTAAACAGCAGCGGAGGGAGCAGACAGCCGAGGGGAGGAGGAGGAGGTCCTGGAGGTTAACAAGGCATGCTGGGAGCTGTGTGTCATGGCTGACATGACAAGCTTGACCTTGGAGTAGGCCGACACGGCCCCACCTCCCCACTCATCCGTGCCCCCCCCCCCTCCCCGCTTTTTTCCCCCCTCAGCTTCTGCATCCCGCTTTCTAGCTGGCTTACAGGTTGGACAGAGTGTGTGTGTGTGTGTGTGTGTGTGTTTGTGGAAGACACAGGTAAATGACTTCAGCACAAACAGACCAGAATACGACTGCCTCCAGACAAAACGGTGTTTTTGTTCTTCGTATCGCCATGGGGACGGTGACCGTGCAGGACCAAAGCCCATGGGTGCTATGTGTAAAAGAGGAAAACACGTTTCCCTTTGAGCAGTTTTAAAGCTACTCCTATGGGTTAAAATACGAATTAGGTGTAGCTATTAGAATTTAGCTGAAGTTAGGATTGTGCTTTTGGCTACTTGTGCTCACAGAAATTCATTCAGAATGCGTTTTGATCTTTTTTTTTCTTTAAAGCAAACTTAGTGTAATCATACCGTTTCCTTGTGAAGTTTGTTTGACATTTATTTAACATGGAAAGCTGTTTGGTGCAATTTGTTCCTTCTTAAAAAGAATGAAAAGCTGACTTTTTAAAGATGATACACACATAGGCAGAGAGGGAATGCATCCAAAGTAATTCTGGTTTATTCTTTCACACTGTCATGTAAAGTTTGATTTAACCAACAGTTCCTGTTTATACGTGTGTGTTTTGTGTGTGTTATATATATATATAGATAGATAGATGTGTGTGTATATATTTATAGATCTGTGTGTATGTATGTATATACATATATAGATGTGTGTGTGTGTCTGTGTGTATTGTTTCTATTGCTTTTGTACTTCTTTTTTTAATATAAGGCAAGAATATAAGATATTTTTGCTATGTTTAATTAGCGATACTTTGGTTGCACACCTTTGTAGACAGGATGTTTTGCCAGAGAAGGGCACATCAAAACAAAAGCTGTCTTCGCTGGCCTTTTCTTCCTCTGCAGTTAAACATCAGTTAGGTTTTAATTAAGTCCAATTAAGTTTTTATCACTTTAATGTTTCGACAAATAATCAACAACGGGGCTGTGTATCGGCCTTCTGTCAGAGGCCGCGTGTGCATGTGTGTGTGTGAATTAAAGTCATTATGCTAAGCTTTCAGCAGTGTGTCTGAGCCGGTTAATTGGAACATGAAGCACTGTGTTAACCAAGATTTATCAATGTAATTACACGCTGTGTACTCAGAGATTCAAATGGAGTAGCGGTATGAAACGGTGCAAGATCTTTTTGGTTTTTATTGACTTTTTTTTTTCTCCTGGTAACTGGATATTATTTCTGAAATAAAAAAAATTTAAAAAACAGACGCTTTTCTTGTTGGGCACGTTGCACAGAGACGTAGTAACCAGCATGCGTGCAAGTGAATCTACGCAATTCACTAAGTGGGTTGGTTTTTCTTAGAGACTAGAGCGGTGCAGACTCTGTTACCTTTAGTTGCTTCATTCATTAGTGCGGCCCCATTCATTAGCCCTGGCCGCTAATGAAAAGCCACCCCTAATTGGCAATAGAAAGATAAGGGCTAAACGAAAACACTAATATAGATGCACTCTGTTTCAGTGTGTGTTTATTTCAATTAATTCATTCAAGGAGAGCCAATAAGCCTTTATTAGCTATTTAACCAGGACAGTTAGCCTGGTAATGAGGACCAACACCCAAACGTAGTGTGATGAGAGTTTAATACACATATTCATTAGCTGTATCAATACCTGCTGATATTCAGTATGAACTAAACTGTTCCACCTCCCTCTCCACAGCTGGGTCCACCACTGAGCCCCCACCCGCAGCCCCGCCCCCTCCCGAGGCTCAGCCAATAGAACCCAAGGTTCCCGAGGAGGAGATGGACGTCACCGATGACGACATCACAGCAAGTAGGTGCTCTGATGAAACTTTTAGGGGGAAATAACTTACCAATAAAAGCCATATTTGCTTTATCACATGAATTTCACGGTCAGAAAAAATCAAGATGTCAGACCCTGTATTCAAAACTCAATCGGTACATCTAAAGATAAAGAAAGGAAGAGAAACAAAATCCTCATTTCGGGAGTTTACACATTTTTTAGATGGGACTCATCCACCCCACAGCACAACCCTGTGGGATTCTGCCATGCTGCAGATTTTTGTGCATGTATATGTTTTATTATGTCCCGCTAATGAAAATCTTTTCAGTTCATGCTTTTTATCTTGAGTTTATGGAGAGAAAAGAATGAGGATGAGGTGTTGCCCTCCATGTTCTATAAAAGCCACCCATGTTTTCATAGCCTTTTGAGCATTTTCCTAAAGGAAAACAAACCTAAATCATGGAAAGAAGGATACTAAGATGAGTGTTACCATATTAAAATCGCTGTTGATTAGCATCTTAAACTACATCGATATTGTTTTGGAATTTGTGACACAACAATGAGGTTGAGCAGGTATGAAAATCATATGCCTCCAACTGAAGCTTTCACTCATATTTTTCCTGAAATTGAAGGGAAATTCTCCTTTAATTAATTGTGTTTTGAAACAGTAAATCTTTCCCCAGTGACCCTTTAGGGTTCATTTGGTATAAATCTGCAAACACAAATAGCTGGTTTATCCTTCATTTTCAGCTGAATTGTGGAGCTTTGCTCCAGTGAAGGGGGATGTAGGTTAAACACAGGTTGGGTCTCGATGTCGGTGGGCTTTTCTTAATCAGTGCCGGTGTACGCCGGAGTTCCCATGGTGTTAAAAGCAGTGTGGTGTGTGTGTACACACACTGAAGGGGAGGTGAGCAACACCTCTTCCCTGGAAATGACTGACACCTACACCACAGGTAGAAAATAGCCACTTTCCACTCCATTTCTTTGTCACATTTTCCTGAATGTGTAACTGTTGGATACACACACACACACACACACTCTTAAACATATTTTTTATTATTTATTAGATTATTTTCTAACATGTGATTCATTTGCTTTTTTGACACTCATTGTGGTAGCTGTATTATCATTTTTATGCTGGATTTTATTGGATTCCAAGATGTCAGTACATTAAAAGTGACACATTCTGATTTCAGAATGTTTGTAAGACATTGTGTTAATGCGAAAAAAAAACTGGCAATAACACTCCCATGCACAGCCTCCTTCCTCCTCCTCCTCCTCCTCCTCCATCCATCCATCCCTCAGACCAGTCAATATCACAGATGTGTCTGACAATTTATCACTTCTCACAGCTCATTTTTCACCTATTGACAGCAGTGTTTTCTCCCTGGGTCTCTGCAGTATTAAATCTGTGAGCCGAGGCCTCAAACACAGTCAAATCACATTTCCCTCTTCTGTGGATGAAGATCTCTCCTCCTGTTCAATGTCTTTACCCTGTGCAGTAATCTTTTAAAACCTCCAGGACTTCTTTACAAATGATTTAGATTTCCTTCCGCAGATATAGAAATTCAGTGGAAAAGCATATGAGCATGTAATCCAGAGCCGTTTTTAAACTGTAGTGGATACAGAGCGTATGCCCAGAGCATTAAAGGCCACCTCATAGGAGTGTGTTCTCTCCACTGTCGCCTCTATCGGAGTCTGAGCTGTGATTTCCTTCCATGTAGCTTATAGTCAAATTGATGCTAACTGTAAAGTTGGATCTGCGTTGTAAGTTGCTTTGGATAAAAGCATCTGTTAAATACAGAAACATGATCAGTTCCCATTTGCAAAGGTGCCATCCCAGCCTGAGCCATTTAAAAGGATTTGCAGACAGGTATGGGTGTCAGGACTGAGCATGAAAGGAATTTCTGCTAAAAGGTTGAGTTTCTTTATGCCAAACTCCTGAAGAGAGATCATCAAGTCAGCACAATAAATATTCTAAAACTGACTGGGTTGATCTCAGAGGTTACTGTGGACGATACTGTCCACCCTGTTCTGTATTCTAGTTTAAGCCAGCAGTTTTACACCAGGAGGAGCTGTTTTTTTAGATCGGCACAGGGCTGAGTTCAGCATAGAACAGGGAAAACCAGCATAGTTTCAGCTGCTTTTTGGAAAGAGTTTTAGTTAATAGTGAAATAACCAAAAAGACCTCCTGGGCTGGTGTCAATAAAAGCCAGTCTGTGATCGTACGGAATTGTTTATGAATGCCTCAGTGTCCATAGCATAGGTGGGATAGCATAACACTACGCTCTTTTTTAAATTGACAATTAAAGGGTTATTTCAGTTTTTTTTAAAAGCCAAACCTCATTCTGACTCTAGGCAACATGGCTTGATAGACACAGAGTGTCTAAAAAGAAATTCTGCCCGCAAATCAGATTACAGAACATGCGTAGTGCACAATATGAAGATAAATTAAGGAGGAATATTCTTTATTAAGTAGCTAATAAACAAGGTTAGGTTGACAAGATGGATATGACAGAAAAGTAGCAAATAGTCATACTGTCAGGTAATAAACAGTAGAATGATTTACATGTGCACATATTAGTGGTTTCAGAATAGAAAAATCAGGTTTCAACCAATGCAAAGTATGTTTCTACTCAAATAATTACTCAAGAATTCAGAGCTCATTAAGACAATTCAGAAATGCTCAGATAATAACCTCTGAATGAGAAGAACTGGTTCTTTAGCTCCAATTGCAACCGTTTTTTTCATAAGACACTCGTTTTAGTCTTCATTAGAAAGTACATTTTAGGATTTGCTGACGTAGCGAGTAGCAGTCCATTAGTCACAGTTCATTAACGGAACCCTGTATTAGTACAACTCTGTGTGTTTTCTCATGAGAAGCAGCTGAACTGAAGATGAGGAAGCATGAGGGGATATGGGAGACGGGAGGCAGGTATGGAGGAAGAAGCGGGATGGGTTGAGATGAGGAGACAAAGAGAAAAGGACAGAAATGTTGACAGCCTTACAATCACTTGGCTGCAGGCTGTTTCCACGGCGATAGACTCCTCACATCAGTAGCTTGTCTTCCCCATCACACACACACACACACACACAAACGCACACACACACACACACACACACACACACACAAACGCACACACACACAACCCAGCGTATAAAGAGTTCAGGATGTGCAGGTGACGACATTTGTTGCTCGGTGCCACAGCTGCAATGCCTTCCAGTCCCAGATACACACACACACACACACACACACACACACACACACACACACACACA